GGGGGGGAGGGTGGGGTTAAATGGATATTTTACAAAGACCAAACGGCTATTTTTGTAGGCCAACGACCATATTTTAAATGTTACAATGGTTACAAAATTTTATGGAATTTTTTTTAAAAACAGTTGTTGGGCCCGTTTGAGCCTGTTTAGGACCGGTTGAACCGACCCACTTAGCACCCGGTCCCGGGCACAAACGGTCCGGTCCTAACGGGCTTTTTAACGTAACCAGCCCACTTAGCAGGCCCAGCCCCTGGTCCCGAGCTTAAACGATTAGGTTAGTTTTGGCCCACTACCCATATGGGCTTGCGGGCCTGGGCCTGCCTCTGGCCTAACCGGCCCACATGCCAGCCTTATCCCGGGTTCTTGTCTCATCAATCATCACTATGTCATAGGCAAATAACATGCACCATGGCACCTCCCCTTGAATGTGTCACGTCAGTACATCCATCGCTAGAGAAAATAAGAACGGGCTAAGAGTGTGCAACCCCATCACTACTAGGAAGTGATCTGAGTCACCTCCCATTGTCCTCACCCGAGTCTTAGCACCATCATACATGTCCTTGATTACCCTAGTGTATGATATCGGAACGCCGCTAACCTCCAAACATCTCCACATAACCTTTTTCGAGACTTTATCGTACACCATTTTTAGGTTTATAAACACCATATGTAGGTCCTTCTTTCTCTCCCTATACTGATCTGCCAATCTCCTCACCAGATGAATAGCTTACGTAGTCGATCGTCCTGGCATGAATCCAAACTAATTCTTAAAAATAGATACACTCTTCCTCACCCTGACTTCCACCACCCTCTTTCAAATTTTCATGGTATGACTTAGCAGCTTGATACCTCTATAGTTATTGTAGTTTTGGATATCACCCTTGTTATTGTACAAGGGAATCACCATACTCCACCTCTTTGGGCATCTTCTTCTTCTTCTTAAAGATAGAATTAAACAACCCAGTAGGCCACTCCACGACTGCATGGCCTGCACTCTTCCAGAATTCTACTGGGATCTCATCTAGCCCACCGCTCTTCTGCTGCTCATCTTATGCATCACTCCCATAACCTCTTCGACCTTAATACGCCTACAATAGCCAAAATCACGTAGACTCTCGGATTGCTCCAACTCACCCAACACAATGCTTTTGCCCCCTCCTTGTTCAACAGTCTATGGAAGTATGTCTACCATCTTCGTCTAATATGAGCGTCTTCCATCAATGCTATGCCGTCCTCATCTTTGATGCACTTCACTTGGTCCAAGTCACGGGCCTTCCTCTCCCTCACCTTGGTTAACCTGTACAACTTCTTGTCCCCGCCTTTGCTCTCAAGTTCCGCATACATGCGTCCAAAGGCAACAATCTTAGCCGCCATAATCGCTAACTTCGCCTCTTTCTTTGACTTCTTATAACATTACCAATTCGTCCTCTTTTCCTCCTCGTTTATGCTCTCCACTAATTTCAAATAAGCTGTTTTCTTGACATCAACTTTACCTTGGACCTACGCATTCCACCACTAGTCCCCTATACGTCTCCTAGGGTATCCCTTTGTAACCCCTAAAACCTCTCTCGTAGCTTCCCTAATGTAGTTCACTGTCATGGCCCACATCGCAGTTACGTCCCCACTACTCTTCCAGGAAACCTCTCCCCTAACTCTTGGGCTTTGTCCTCAGTCAAGTTTCCCCACTTGGTTCTATGTTGACTGCACACTGCTCTCTTCTTTCTATTCCTCTTGATCCCCAGATCCATTACCAGGAGCCTATGTTGCGTCATGAGACACTCATTCAGGATGAATTTGCAATACATACAAAGACCTCTATTGAATTTTATGCAGAGAAGATAGTCTATCTAAGTCCTGGCCACCGTACTCCGGAAAGTGACCAGGTGCTTCTCCCTCTTTGGGAAACTCGAGTTAGATACCACCAAATCAAAGGCTCTAGCGAATTCCAATAGCGAAGTACCTCCCACATTCCTATATCCAAATCCGAACCTTCCATGCATATCGTCATAACCCCCAACTTTAGCCCCGATATGACCATTGAAATCCCCTCCAATGAAATCTTCTTGGTGCACTGAATGCTACGCACCACCTCATCCAAGTCCTCCCAGAATTGCCTCTTGACCTTCTCGGCCAAGCCTACATGAGGAGCATAAGCACTAATCACACTTAAAGTAAGCCCCCAACCACAAGCTTAACCGCCATCACCCTATCGCTTACCCTCCTAACCTCTACCACTAGCTCCCTAACAT